ATTCAGAGAAAGGCACATCACTTACAGGCAGGAGGTTGTGAAAGAAGCCATGAATGACTGAACTACTTAGGATGAAGGGCTGCACTGAGGTCTCTTTGGCTTGCTCCAGTGTTTTCCTTCTAAATCCATATTATCATGTCAGGCATTTAAAAATACATGCGCATAACAGAAAGACTGCAGAGGCCTTCCCTCTGTGAGTTGTGTTAAGACAAGTTTGTCGTCCCTTGTTTGGATGTGCACAGCAGCTACTCGGTACATTTCGATGTAGATGGTTTTAAGTAGCTCTTTTCCAGGGGTTACAAGAGAACATGAATTTAGGTGGCCACATTGATTCATTACCAGCTTCCAGTAAGATAATATATGAACACGAAAATCAATATGACAAGCAAAATGAAATAGCTTGAGATAAGCAGGGGTATACAGAAGAAATCAATGCCCTTCAACTACTATGATGGTGAAACAGAGTCCATAGGAGAGAGTATTAAATTCCTAAGTCAAATATTTCAAATACTGATCTGTAACATCACCTGTGACAATAAATGTAGTAAGGATTTGCATTAGTATATTCACATGATTGCTGTGAAATTCTCCAATCAGTGAGCTTTTCCTCCTACAAATGATCACAGTAAGTTTATGGCTGTGCCAGGTTGTGTTTTCCAGGAATAACCTTTATATGTTTAGTATGGGTAGATTTACTGATAGAAGATTAAATATTAACCTTAATTTCATGACCTGGAAAAAATATGCCACATTAGGAATAAAGACATTGACTCTTTCCTGATTGCTGGTTGTGAGTTTGTACAGATAAATAAATAAATAAATAAATAAATAAATAAATAAATAGACAATACAGCAAAGTCCTCTAATCGGAAATTATTATTAATTTTATTTAGGCCACTTGCTCAGACTTTTTGGAAAGACTGTGTGTTATCAATAGGAAAACAGACTGAACGTTTTCTTTCTCCGCTTTTTTTTTTGTACAGTCTCTTATTTTTGTGAGTAGGCAGATTGGCACTGTGAGAAGGAAGGCTTTTCCTTCTTTTCCCACCTAGGACCCTGTCATACAGTACATTATCAACATCTGATTTTAAATGCATAATGCAGATTGTATTTTTAACAGTACTCCACTGACCATGGGGTCTCTCTCTCTCTCATTCAAAATTTTTGGGTCACATCACTGAATAGTGGCTATTAGATTTTATTAGACTTTGCATTTTGAAATGTCTCTTTAAACACTCTTTGGACAAATGAGACACAGTCAAAGCATGGTGGAGCTTAGCTCAAGAAGTATAATGTGAAGGCAAGGGTGTTGTATTGCCATTAAAAAAGTATTTTTTCAAGAGTCAACGAGGCAGCAAAGGTCTGTTCCACAGCCCAGTGAAACAGCCTGGCTGCTAAAGCCAGCCTTGCACCAGCTGCCCAGGATGCCTGCAGCTGTAGGGCTGAGATGATTTACTAACACTGTCAAGAAGATGGAGACATTTGCCTTTTTTGCAGGTATTTGCTTGCAAGGGGGAATTCCTGAGAATATAATAATTTTCTGCGTAGGTCTGCCACTAATTCTGAGGGTTTTTTTTATTAGCTTCTTACAATTTCTCAAATAAGAAGTCAACCTTCATTTCTTCTGGCTTTCTACTCATCATCATCATCATCAATCCTTTGAAATCTGTCAGCCACTCCAACCTTGGTTTTAACAGCTGAAACTAATAAAATATCCTAAAACCCTAGGGGTTGTCTTACTAGGGCCTTGCAGCAGCAGAAAAACTAAACTCATAATGTGTATTATTTTCTTCTCCTGAAGTCTGTAGCCAGACGGTTTACACCTGATTTATTTCTAATACCACTTGCTGTTAGTATTTTTCCCTTCCACTGGGATATAGCTGACATTTTTCCCCTGGAAATGGATTAACATATATTTTTCTACACTGAGCAATATTTCAGTACCTAGCTGTAACAGTGCTATAACAACCCCCCTCTGTGTTGCCTTTGCTCCTATCACTAGAGAAACAAATACTTGTTTATGCTGAGGTTCCCATCTGGAGATCTATCCAAATTCTCTTTGAAGTTTGCCTTTTGAAACTTAGAGAATCCTGCCTAGGCTGATGACTCTGCAGTTAAGGCTGAGGTTGCCTTTTCTTGAGTTTGTAATGTGAAGTATTGGAATCACTTGTCAATCATTTTTCTTTGTGTATATTTTCTTGTGTTGCTTTTATTCTTCATTTACTTAACTGTTTGCATGCTTATGACTAATTTAATTTCTAAGGTAAGGAAAATCATCCTGACAACACTGACTTGCTTCTTTTTTGGGACAGGTTTGCTAAGTTTCCCTGCATTCCTAAGCTTATGTCTTGGGGAACTCTAAATATAAGCACTAGCCTGGTGATGTGACCCAGCTCAGATGCCAAATTGGAATTTTCACCCTTAGGTGTACAGCTATCTGGGATGATACTTCCAAATTCAATATCTTAGTTTTCAGACAAATACACAAATGTAGTCCCAGTTAGATTTTGTTTTTCAATGAGGAGATCATAACTTTTTACCAAATACACCTTATCAAAACTTTGCACTTCATAATAACCTTTCTGAATAATTGGATTGTACTTGAACAACTTTTTCAATGAAATTTTTCCAGGAGACCGGTTTTTGTTCATAAGGCATCAGTGAAAGTATTTGTGAGGAATTCACTACTGTTACAGATTTGGCACCTTATTCATTTGTGTTAGAATCCTTTTTCTTTGCCTCCAATGTTATCTAAAGTATTTCCAAATACTGCCATCAAATTGTCTTCCTATAGATATGAAGAGAGTAAAACTGCCTTTTTTTTATACAGATACAAAATTAATAATTTATCTAAGTGAGAGTAAAACACCAGCCATTCCAAATAGCTCTTTTAAATCGACATTCCTTCTTCCATTGCCCAAATAAAGCAATTCCTCAGGTTTTCATTGCTGTAAACACAGCTGTATTCCAATGTTACTGCATTCATTTCATCTGCATTTCTCTGATGTGATGCAACCCAATGATAGGATAGCACTTGCACTGTGAGACGTGAGGGAAGAAAATGGGAGCATTTCCATCAGCAAATGCACTAATTTAGCAGCAGACATGAAATGTGGCATTTATAGGAAATTTAAACAGACCTCTTCTTTGGAGAAGGTGTATCTTTGTATGTGCGTCTTAACTAAACTTATCTCTGGTGACATTTGTAATTCTACCTATTCTAGATTTAGTATGAGAAGATCATATGAAAGTCAGTTAAACTTCTCTTTCTTAGGGAGTGTCTTGGTGTATTTTAGGCAATTGTCTGAAAGTGAGACAACTGAAAAATTTGTCTATCTGTTCTATGCACCAGAAGCCACCTACCTGTGACTTGTTATTTTCAGTCTCTCATCTCATGTTGGCAATTTTCAGGAAGGGAGCCAAGTCAGAAACCAGCCCTTATTTCTATCACAGCAAAAGAAAGACATCACTCCCTTCCTTCTCCTCCTTCACCTCTGCATGATGCACTGGAAATTAAGAGGACAGCAGGAGTGAGTCAGTGTTCTCAACTCTGCAAAAGTCAGTCTTTCCAGAATATCTTTTGAGTGTAACTCTCCTGTTAGTTACTGTCAGGAAATAATGCATTGGCCTTAAAATAAATCATCTCTCAACCTATCCCCACGCACACATATGGTCTGCTACATCCTAAATCTCCTACATCTTGCTGGGGTCTACAATATCTCCTACATCTTGCTGGGGTTTACAACACTGCAAGGAGAGCTGTGACAAAGCAGAGCCAAAACCCTCAGGGCTTTCAGTCCAATCAGTAGGAGAGATGGAGGTAGAAATGGAAGCAGGAACATCCAAAGTCTAATGTGCCTGTGAAGGTCAGAAAAGTCTTTTTTAGTGGCATTCTTGCTTGCCAGAAAGGACCTTGTAAGAATATGACTCTGCAGTGAGTTTCTTGTGTATTTTGACAGAATGGTTTCCTATCTTCATTAAGGAGGAGCCTTAATCCAGCACCACATAGATAGATTTTTATAGGGTGGAACAGGAGCTCCTGTAAGTCCAACAGAGACCATGACTGAAAGTTTGCTTTCATTTCCTTTCCAGAGATGTAGGGTTTTCACTTTTCAGAAGCAGCTCAGATATGTACTGCTCTTTCTGTACTTGCAGGCTTTCCCATGGTGTGAACACCTCATGCTTAGGGCTTAGGGTGGGCAGCACTTCATGGCTACCCATCAGTGCCATGGAAGGAGACAAGTGTGCCCTCAAAAAAAGGAAACTTCCAGCTGCAGTAAAAATGGACATCACATTGTTGCCTATGATGGAGTCAGGCTGTTATACACCAGTAAAGAAACTAGGAACCAAGGAAAAAGCAGCCTTAGGAAAAGACATGTGGGAGGTAATCACTCCTGTTTCACCAGTAACACAGTCAGATTTAGAGCTCTGTTTATGTGCGGGCACTCTGCTCTTACCAGTTTAACCAGAAATCAGAAGACTCCATATTCTATGATATCAGATCTACACAATGTTTGCTACTCCTTGGGGAGGATCTTCATCACACAAAACTCCAACTGCCTTTTCAGACACCTCTGTGTGCTTTCTGGGATATCATAGCCAACCACAGAGCTCCAGCACTTGAGCATCCATAAGCTTCTCATAATTTCATTAAACATTCATTATATCTTCAAAGTGCATTTTCTACAATTCTTTGTCCTACTCTGTGCTTCATTTTATAGTAATAAGGCTTTTTAAATACTCTGGTTTGGAAGGGTTTCTTTTTTTGCCTTTTTTTTTTCTTCCAGAAGAGGGAAGGAAGGCAGGAAAATAAAGGCAGAGATTCCATTTAGCAGGGATGTTTGGCATAACCTTATCTAGTTACCAGTAGTAAAAATGGGGAGAAATAAGGAGGAAGATAGGGAAGGCATTTTTCAGACATATTTTGGATGTGGTGTCCTGTGGTGAAAGCAAGAGGATGTTTATCCTTCAGCTGAGCCTCCCATCTTGTTCATCCCACTCACCAACCTGCACTGAGGAGGCAAAGGCTTGGCAACCAGTATCCAGTCCTGTGGTTTGCCCTGCTGCTCACCAGTTGTGCGTGCCCATGTTGCTTCAGAGGGAAATCAAAGCAACTCCCTCCTGTGGGATGTGATCCTCTGTCCCCTCAGGCTCACTTTCACGTGGTCCTCAGCAGCTCTGTCGACTGTGCAGATTTTTTGGGGCCACACCATCAGCACTGAGAAGCAGAGCACAAAGTGAACCACAGAGAGCGGGTTAGACAACGTTTGGCACCTGATTCTTATTCCTATAATGATTCCTGTTTGGAAAATATGGTTCTGCACATACCTTGTATATACACTGTGTTAAGACACCTCTTAAGAGATCCAATTTAGTTGCTCCTACAGGGGAGTGATGTACAGGCTACTTTGCTCTTTCCAGGAAACATCAGCCAGCAAGGAGGTGGAGCAGGCTAGAACTCCCTCTGCCTAGCCCAACGGTACCCTTTGTGCATCAGGTCCACTTAGGCGAGTTTGAGCAGCCTTTGGTGCCTCTTCTGGCCTTTAGTGATGGTGAGAGTCCAAAAACTGCATGCAGGCAAGTGTGTAAAGACAACAACCTCTCCTAAGAAAAGATATGCTGTTCTAAAAAGAAATAAAAGTACGTTATATAAAAAATGGCATTGTGCTTGATTTTTCCTTCTCTTTGTGAAATTGTCTCTTATTTTCCAAAGAGGAAATACAATCCTTAAATTAGATCTCACAGGGATGCTGGCTCCAGAATTGTGAAAATTAATACACAAGCAATTAAATTTGAAAACAAAAAAATCCCAACAATGAATCAGGAAAGAAGTCACTGACATTAAAACCAGAGTTATGCAAATTAAGTAATAAACTCTCAGCCAAATTTAGGAAATTTTTTGGTCTTTAATTCACTTCACTCTGCCATCTGAATCCTTCTTGCCTATTTCCCCCCAGGATAGAAGTCCATCATTAAATAATGGATGCATAAACTCCTCTTTTTATTTCTTCCTCTAAATAAAACTCTTTATAGGAAATACTGGAGAGGAGCAAAAATTAAGGATGAAAAGAAACTACAGTGATGGTAAGTGACAAACAAAGCCAGGGCTTGAAGAATTAATTTCATTCTCTGAATTACACTGATCTTATTTGCAAGGTCATTATATGCATCTTCGTTTTGGACTTCTGGAGAGTCCTACACGTAGAGAAAGGAGTAAAATACAGTCTTCCTTTGATGTGAAGTACACTGAGTTTTGATTTACTTGTTTTTTTTTATAAAGAGCTGGAGTCTTGCAGTACTACCCTGCAGAACCAGTGAAGTTATCACTGCACCATTACCAAACAAAACCTCTGAAGCCATCGGAAACTGGAGTTGTGAGGTCTTCAAGTAACTCAGCAAAATTTGTTATATGAAATCAAGGGAGAACTGCAACTTTTCAGGGTGGGTGGTGGGCTATGAAACTTGTACTTTGGCTTTAATAATGTTTTGTACTTTTATTAATCTACCCAAAAGACTTTAAGTGATCAGTATGCATGTTACAGCCTGGACTGTGCTGCTCAGTACTGGGATCACCCTGCTCTGAGCAGGCCTTCCTGGCTCCCAGGCAACGTGTTCCCTTCTCCCTGGGGAACGTACAATGTCAGACTCATTGGTATTTTAAAAAATCATGGCCCACAGAGATAGTCACAATTATCTAGAAAATATATCCACAGCTCTTAGTGTAGCTAGCTAGTTAGAAACATGGAAAGTCAAAGTCAAGTAGGTGTAGATTAGAATAAGCCACAAAAATCTTCTTCAGTAATCTTGGCTCAGTTTGTCACGGATATGAGTTATGACACCACCAGATTTTTGGCATGATGTCATGGGCTCAACACCTTTTGTTTTTGCAGCCAGTTGATTTCTAGGGAGGTGGTAATAGAGAAAGGGAACTGCTGTCTCTTTGGCAATAGTGGACTCTTCAGAGCAGAGTTATAGCTGTTCATTTTAACTCCAGAAAGATCTCTATACATTTCAGCAGCTCAGCTGTAATTAAAAGAAGTTATTGATAGAAGATTAAAGGCTATATCACTAAAAATTATTTGACCTTACCACTGTAGATTATTAGATTACTGAAGGTAAGGAGGCATTTTCCAATAAGACTCTTTTACTCTTCCAGATTATTCTTGACAGCTCCTGCAATGAAAATGTCAAGATAGCTATGTCAAATGCCCTTGAATTAAGAAGGCACATTATCATGTTTGCAAATTGTTGCCAAATTACACTCATCAAAGGGGTATTTTAGTCCACTGATTGTTCCCCTCACAGTAATACAGAACTAAGACTCTAGAGATGGATGTCCTTGTGCAGTGGCATTTTTGTCATGTTGTCAAATCCCATTAATCTGCCTTTGGTTCATCTGTGCTCCTAAAATACCTGCAGTATTACTTGCATTTCTGTACTATTATATATTATCCTTGTCTATGCAAGCTATAAACCTTGGAAGTGGCATTAGAATTACAGGCCCTTTGTAGGGGGGATGAAGGCTCTATTGTCATTCATTATACAAAGTGATTAATTCAAGAACTGCAGAAAGAAATGGTTTAAGAATCTCTTCGAAGTAAGTAAATATAGGGAGTTCTACATTAGCAACTGATTCTGGTACACCAAAACAATATCTGTGGAGTTTTGGGTTTGGGTTTTTTAACATTTCTAAGCACTGCATAAATAACAAGCATTGCCAATTAATAATATTTTCACAGTTTGTCTTATGAGACAGATAGATAGATATATGTATAACAAAATTTATATCTATATTTTTTGAGATTCCTATGTAGATCACATAGAAATTTCACAAAAATATGTGTAGATAGTAGTTGCACATATTACTAAAAGCCCTACTTTGGCATCTGAGATTTGTATGAACATCTCAGTTTTCACATCAAAAATATTCATGGTGCCTGAGGTCAGGAAAAGGACATGCTCTTACTCTCCTGTTTTCACTTCCCCTTTTTTTCCCTACAAAAAAATTAATAACGGGAAAGTAGAATACAAATAAAATAATAAAATTTCTTTGTTTTCCTTTTGATATTTCATAATCTGTAAATTGACCTCACTTTAAAAAAAATCTTTGTAAATACAAAACTCAGTATGCAAAACTGGTCTCCACAGCAGAGAGCTGTTGTTTACAATGTGTAATCTCTTCAGCTTTTAGCAAGGAACAAACTCATAGTAAGCATTATACTGCTGATGACTTCAACAGGAAGAAGCACAACATGCTTTTTTATCTAGAGCAAAGTGGAAGGGGTGCTGGTGCTCAGAGACACAGACTAGAACAGAAGAGTACACTATTTGAAGTGCCCTGCTCGGAAACTTCCTTATTCCTTCAAGAAACTAAAAGTTAACATTTACATTAATTAAGTTAACATTTACATTAATTAACAAATACATTAATACATAACATTAACTAGGGTTAATCTGACCTTCGGATGGAAGGTGAAGCTTTCTTCAGAGATGATGTTGACATCAGTAGGGGATAGAAGTGTTGAGCTCCCTTTTGTCATCTTTCTTTCCTGCGTGCAAGGTAGCTTTAGAGGCTCCTCTTAAGAAACTCAAGTTTTAAATTGCCTCCCTGTGCTAAATTTTAGATTCAAGAAAGCAGATGGATCATTTCACAAATGAGGGCCTGTGTGTGGGGCCCTAATGATACAACAAATATGTGGAGAACCTTGAATGGACCTGGGAAAAAAAAGTACAAAGATGTACATGCACCACAAGTTCATAAAAATAATGTCTTTGTTCATTCCAATTTATCTTCTTATTCTGAAAACCCTAGGCCTGGAAAAATAATATAGCTTCTGCAGTATTCCAAGATATGCCTATTTTCTCACTGAAATTTATGTTCAGATTTGCCAAACAATGCCTAAGAAAAAGCGTAAATGGGGATTATCAGAGCCAGCATGTAATCATGAAGCAATTTTATTCAGGCAAAAATCAAGGACAGGGGTTGTACTGTCTTACCCCATCTGGTGTGCATCTGCATCAAGGAGATGCTTGACTACCTGGGTTTCACAGCTCTTTATACCTCCATCGTGGCAGGAACCCAAAGCCAGTTCTGATTGATAAAACACAACCAAAACAGTAAGAGGAAGCCACACTGGCCTGTTTTGTTTTGGTTTGGTTTTTTCTTTAGGAGCTCAATATTTCAAACAACATACTTCAGCTAGGTTAGTGGGGAACCTGGGATCAACCCCTTCCACAGTGCACATTGTGTTCCAATATATTCAGATAGCTACAGGTGCTTTCTCTTCCCCTAGGTTACAGATCTGCAGGGACTCAGCACAGAGAAAACAGAAAGGTGCAAGTGGCACTCTTTGCTGGTACGGTCAGAAATGTTGGGGCTTATTATTAACCTTTTATCAATCCTAATGAATGCAAACCTTGAAATAAATCAAAATACAGAAATCACCATCACAGCTTGAAGTGTGGTGTCTATGATACGTAGTCTTTTGTGAAACCCTGCCATTCACTTTCTGAATAACTGCTACATTACAGCACTTTCAAGAGCTGGCTTTTATAAGCCATTTCTTATCATTATCCACTTATGTTTTTCCTGTACTTGAAGCACCAAAGAAGCCACTCATTCTGTAGTCCCTGCATCCACTCTGCCAGCATCCCAGCAGCACACAGCATACATATGTATATAAGCCAAGTGGAAAATTCCACTGAATGGGAGCTTTCACAGCACTCTTCCAGGTTTACACCAGTTTCTGTAAGAGAGGGGACTGGAGGTATTCTCTTTTAATACAGTCGTTTGCCAAGAGCATTCACCTTTCACTGATTCCTGCCCTCCTTTCAGATTCAGTGGGAAAACCACAAGTGAAGATGGGCAGGACTCCTATTTGATGCGTGCCCATGTGTAGGAATTAAGAACCCTGGTTTGCTCCCTGACACCTACTGTCCAAGGTCTGGTTTATCCTTCTCTCTCACTTAGATTAGATCACTTAGATCTCACTAAGAGATTACTCCCCACCCTGCTTAGCCTACTTATCTTTTCCTTTTTGCCAGTAACAACTCGTATGATTTCACACTAACTCCCAGGAGTCACTGCATGCCACTAAACACTGACAGGTAAAAATGAGGAGCTGGAAAGGGAGCAGCTCAGACTTAGCAAATGACCGAGGAAGGGATGCACTGGGGCACTGATGGAGATGCAGAACAGGTATCAGTTGGGATGGATAGGCACCATGTCCTACTGGCCCAGCCAAAGGGAGGTTGAGAGTACTCATGGATGTGGGTGTGTGCTTGCTATCCCCACAGAGCTGACACTGGTTTTGATTTTAAGGACTTTAGGAGGTGCCACACCTGAGGAGAGAAAAAGGCAGCAAGTGAATCCTGTTAGAGGAACATTAGGGTCGCTGAGAGGTCTACATGCAAACATCTAGAAACACTGATGTTATGTTACTCTGCAGAACTGTGACAGGATCCCTCTGAGCACATGCACAGCAATGTGAATGTTCTGTTTGCCAGTGATCGCTCTGCACCATTTCTTTCCTACATAAGCAGATGCTTTAATACTGGACCCAGGCTGAAGAATAAGAGGAAGGGATTGCAAGTGCATAAAACACACTACGTAGTAAACATAGCAGTGCCTATTAAAATCTTATTCATTCCCCTTCTTGCAGTACAGATCCAAGCAAAGTATGTGCCTCTAAAACCAATTAACAGTTGAAGGAGCTACCAACAGCATGAAATTAAGCTGCTTAAAAATCCTGCTGTTAAAGAGACACAAGCTGGGTGCAGCTCTGTGCTGTGATTATACACAAGTACACAAGATGATGTCTGACTTAGCTGATGGGCAGCTAAGTAACTGAACACAATCCCTACAGGAAATAACTGCACTCAGCCAATGCCACTCCATGCCCCAGTCATTGCAGATGGTAGCAGTAAGGCAAGCAAGTGCCATGGCAAGCACAGAGCCTGAAGATTAAGAGCTAAACAGTAATAACAGCTATGAATTCATTCTAGCACATGCCAATCCAGTCTGTCGTTATATTGAACCCTTTGAGCCCCACACTTGACACCAAGAAAGGCTGTTGTGGTTTAACCCCAGCTGGCAGCTAAATACCACACCCCTGCTGGGATGGGGGTGGGAATCAGAAGAATAAAAAAAAACTTTTGGGTTGAATTAAAATCGGTTTAATAGGTAAAGTAATAGCTGCACACACAAGCAAAGTAGAACAAGAAATTCATTCAACACTTCAAATGGCAGGCAATGATGTTCAGCCACCTCCAAGGAAGCAGGGCTCCATCAAAAGTAAGGGTTACTTGGGAAGACAAAAGTCATAATTCCAAACATGACCCTTTCCTTCTTCTCTCCCCACCTTTATATGCCTAGCATGATTCCACATGACATCAAAAAGCCACCTAATTTTTCATCAGCATGGGAAAGAAGTATGATGCTACAGTACTGATGGTAGAGAAGGATCTAGAAGAATGTGATTAAACTGATGTAGCAAAAAAATACAAACAAAAAAAACCCCAAACACCAATGAATCTGTAGCAAATGGGGATCAGGAAAGTGATGAAGCTGACACTGTTATTTATGAAAATCATCCTAATTTCTGGGTATTATTATTATTTTTGCTACATGGCTGTACTTCATGGACAGCAGTGGAGTGCTTTCTTGATTGCATGAAGACTGCATGATCTCTGATACAGATCTGTGTACCAAATTCATACCATTCCTATGTCTCATGTTATCAGCCTGTAGCTCAGCCTAGCTTTGGTAAGAATCACATTTTTAATGTAACAATGGAAGAAAAGGTACTTGTCTTATAATCTGGCTTTCTCACTGAGCTCTTACATAACCACAAGTGAAAGCAATGCTCTCTGCCAATTTTCTGATATGGTCTCATTTTATATTCCTGGCTCAAAATACTACCGTGTGACCCATATCATCACCCCCAATAACTATAGTATTTCTGGCTAGGTTTGACACTCATCTGCAGAGCATCCCTTTTCATCCATTCTTTTTCAAAAATGCGAAAATGGAATCTGGATTAATCAGACCCTGCTGCTCACCACCTGCAGCACTTGCAATTTCCAGCTTTCAAGGCTACAGTGGCAACAGGAAAGAATTATCAGGACATGGTAACAATACAATTGCTTCAAACCAAGGGTACAAATACTGGCCACATCATCACAGGGAGGCTGCTGCTTC